ACCATCAACTGAAAAAGGTGAAGGAGAAGATTGGGAAGGCATTTGAGGGTGATTGCAAGATGGAATATGGTAAATTATGGGATTATGCTGCAGAGCTTCAATCGAAAGACCCTGCTGCCACCATCTTTATATCGGCATCAAGACCAACTACAGATTTAAATCCTGTTTTCTTAAGGATGTACATATGTTTTTCTGCAATGAAGCTGGGATTTGTAGCTGGCTGCAGGTGTGTTATTGGTCTTGATGGTGCCTTCCTTAAAGGAGCGTTCAAAGGAGTATTGTTGGTTGCTGTTTCTAGGGATGCAAACAACCAGATGTATCCACTTGCATGGGCAGCCGTGGAAGGTGAAACCACAGAGACATGGATCTGGTTCCTTGAGGAGCTGCAAAAAGACATAGTGATTGGATCAGGGAGTAATTTCACATTCATTTCTGACCAACAGAAGGTATATTCCATGGTTCCCAGATGTTTATGAATCTTTCTTTTTCCCAAATTGGTCCCTGAACTTTCTGTTACGTTTATGAGTCTTTCTTTTTCCCAAATTGGTCCCTGAACTTTCTGTTACGTTTATGAGTCTTTCTTTTTCCCAAATTGGTCCCTGAACTTTCTGTTATGTTTATGAAAGTTCAGGGACCAATTTGGGAAAAATAACTTAGTTGGTAACTATATGCACTCATTGAGAACATGTGATTCCAGGGCTTGATACATGCAATTGAGGATCTATTTCCAGATGCTGAGCATAGAACATGTGCTAAACACAAATATGCCAACTTTCGAAAGAATAATGGAGGCAAAGAATTGAAGGTAGCATTCTGGAGATGTGTTAAGGCTAACACTGAACATGACTTCAACAGGGCATTAACTGAGTTAGGGCGTATTAAACCAAGTGCAGTCCCTGCCATCATGAGCACACACCCTAGGTTTTGGTCAAAGGCTTTCTTCAAAGAAGATAGTAAATGCGATGTTGTCGATAACAACATGTGCGAGGTTTTTAATGGTTTAATACTGGAAGCAAGGCACAAGGTCGTATTCTCTATGCTGGAAGACTTACGGGCAATGTGTGGCCGGAGGACGGTGGCTAGGAGGGAATATGTTAATAGGAAATTTGTTAGGAATTTTGGTCCCAAAATTTGGGCAAAAATTGTTGCTGCCCGAGAAGGTAGCAAGAGATGCAGACTTTTATGGCCTGGTGGTGACGGGTATGAAGTTGATGATAATGGGGAGGCAACTTATATTGTAAATGTGGAGAGAAAGACATGCACTTGCAGAGTTTGGAATATGACTGGAATACCATGTAGGCATGCAGTTACTGTGATCAACCATAGACAAGAGAATGATGAGGACTATGTAGCACACTGCTACAGCAAGCACATGTTCATGGCAAGTTATGAATATGAAGTCCCAGTCATAGAAGGAATTAACCAATGGAAGGAAACTAAAATGCCACCTATGCAACCACCAAATCCAAGAAAGATGCCTGGCAAGCCAAAGAAGAAACGACAGCTGGAAGAATGGGAGGGGAAAACATCTGTTGGCAGAAAAGGGAGGTTGATGACCTATCAAAAATGCTTCAAAAGGGGGCACAACTCTAGGTCATGTAAAGGAGTTCCACCAAACGTTGTAAGTTAAATTTGTAATTAATTATTGTCAATTCTATATGTGTTTTATACATTATTTTCATATGTATGTATTATGTATTTGTAGCAAGAACAAAATGAGGATCAAGCAACTCCCCAAGAAGAGCAGCCTCAAGGTGTTGATGAAAACATTACAGCTAATGTGGAAAACTCAATGAGCCAAGTGGAGGATCCTCTTAGTCAAGTTCTTAATGAGACACCTACTCCAAATAGATTCAGGCAAACAGCAAAAAGAAAACAGGAGGTTGTAAGGTTCTAAACTAATCAATTTTTCATTTTATGGTATGGTATGCTAGATATACTAACAAATGCACATTAATTCTTTAGTGTGAAGGAAGCTCAAAAAATGCACAGCCACGGAAGAGGGCTAAAAAGGACTGTGCAACAACAACCACAGGCCCCTCCCAATCACAAGCAGCAACTACTTCAGTCGCCAAAGATAAAAGGGAAACAACCAAAGAAGCCACGACAGCCAAAGAAGCCACGACAGCCAAAGAAGAAACCCTGAATGGCTGCAAATGCATCAAAGTGAGATTAATGAAGATTGATTTTTTGGTATTTTGTTAGGTTGAATATGTTGGGGTGAGCATATTTTGTGTGGAGTTGTCTTTTGTGTATAACAATTATGGTTGGTTGGAAAATGTAGTTATTGGTCTAATGTGTAGTCCATTATTGTATTTTTTGCTTAGGATTTATTTGCAAAATTTGCATAGGTTTGTATGTATGAAACTGCATTCATGCAATTGTTGTAAACACTGCATGTTGGAATGGTATGCACTGTGTATAAGTGCTTATTTTCTCAAATTTATATACAATCAGGTACAACATTTATAACAGATTTCAACAGCACAGAATCTTCGATATTATATTAGGTTTTTGGCAAAGAGGCACATTACAATTGGTTTAGACAAAAAGAAATGCTTCTATAGGCTAATAAACTCACAAGAACCTGGATTCTAGTGCAGCCTTTGTAGGTTAATAAACTAACAAAAACCTGGATTCTAATGCAGTCTCTGTAGGCCAATAAACAGACCAATAGCAGATACAGCACTTAACATGCAAAATACACACAAAATGATACAAACTTTTTGTGATCTTCTGCAAATCTTCTCACTTCTTTTCACTTTCTTCTCCAAATGCTTAATCTTCTTCACTAGTGATTCAGATTCAGCTATTAAGACCCCATTCTTGTGTAGCAAGTTCCCATTTTCCACTAATAATCCAGCATTTTCCTTCATCAAATCATCATTTCCCTTTATCAAATCAGCCCTTTCCTTCATTAAATCAGCATTTTCCTTGATCAGATCAGCATTTTCCTTCTTCAGCCTTTCATTCTCGGACTGAAATCGAAGTTGCTTATCTTTCAACCTCAGTAACAGATCCCTTGCTCTACCCTCAATCACCTTATCACCAGGAATAAAATGGAAGAACTTGCAAGGCTTTCCAGTCTAAACAGCACAAAAGTTAAGAAAACAACTTTATGCTTCTAAAATGGCACTAAACTAGATAAATTTGCAACTAAAATTAAAGAATACCAGCCTTACCAGGAAATTTGGACATCCCCAAAACCTTATTCCCATGTTCTGGAATGTCAGTGCTGTCCTCAACACAGGTGCTAAACCACACTCGCATTTCGATTCTGTCATTTGACCACCACTAGCACTCGCACCATCAGAAATTGAAGGAATGGATATCGATTCAACAACTTCCATTGCCTAAAATTCCTCAAGATCCACTCGAAAGGACAAAATAGTTGATTTCGAAAGCGTGAATCTCAAGATCAAAGACAAAAGAGCTCTGTTCTTTTAGGGTTATGAAATGGAGAAAAGCGTGACATCTACGATGTTCGAAGACTCCATTGTTCTTCGATTTCCACCTCTTTCAGCACTAAACGCGAATATTCGAAAGTGAAAGATCAAAGATTCGCGAGCAAAAAGCAAGAAGGAGAATGGGACTTTTGGCTTTTCTGCAGGTACGGTGTGCCCTCTGCACTTCTAGGGTTCGAATGGGAAGAAGGGGAGGATATACTAAATTTGGGCAGGAGGTGGGCCCCATGTTTTTATTTTTTTTGCTTGGCGGGAATCTGACGTGTTTTATGACATGTCATCTTTTTTCCATGTGTACATATGACGTGTCACGATATTTGGCCATGTCATCGTGTTCCCGTTAGTTAACAATACACGTCACTGGATTTTTAACGGAAGGACCAAATCGGGGTAAAAATGGTAAATAGTAGGGACCAAATCAGGGATTTTTTTAGTTCAGGGACCAAATTGGGGGTCTGTACAATAGTTCAGGGACCAAAAAGGGGTTTAAAAGGCTTTCAGGTAAGGTATTTGGATGTTCAAATGCCCAATGCTTGTTGCAGCTTATAGGAAGCTTTTTATAGCGCTCCTTGGAATATTTTCTTTTGTCATTGATGACAATTAAAATTTACATTATTATCTGGTGATCCAGACTTGCTTCTAGCTTTTGCTAAAACAAATTACATAGAATCTTGCAAACACTCTTCTTTTTCTTTAGTGACGTAAGAGCTTACGTCTTTTGGCATTGGATTCTTTAGAGGATGACGAGATCCTCTTCACCGTCTGAGGGGGTGGTCTCTTCGTCACATGGGACTTCAGCTTTCCTTTTGTAGAATTTTTTTTTCTGTAGCAAAAACCACAATGGCTGTCATGCTTTAACAGCTTACATAGTCTATTATGGACTGCTTTACTAGCTAGGACCAGATTTTCAAAGATTTCCTTTCTTTTCTCCTTTATTTTGAATAGGTTGATGCTTGTCATTAATCTTGCACCAGTGGATACTATTGAGATTTCTTTGGAGAAGCCATATGCCTATGTCTTCCTCATTTCTATCATTCTGTTAAAGGTTTGGAGTAAACCCTTGAATCCTAGAGCTTGTCTCTCTTGGATGAACTCGATCCCACAAAGAGACTCTTCAAAGTTTTGAAAATTTTGATCTTCATTCGCTTCTACCTTGATTTTCTTGGACTGGATTCCAATTTGAACTATATGATGACTGGGGAAATATTGAGATTTCTCCCATTCTAGTGCTGCAAAGTAGATTTTGACAAATACTACCCTTTGAGTTTTGGTGCCAGTTTTGAAGTCTTTCACTCCTTGGCGTATAACTTTTGAAAGTTCTAAAACTTCTTCATTATCCTTTGAGAGATAAATGCAATTTACAAAATCGTAATTGAATAATTGTTTTATTGCTTTTGAGTTTACACCCTGCATGAAATTAATTTTGGGATAAATCCTTTCATGAATAGGATGGCAATTCTCAGTGGACCTCAGTAAATATGTCATTTTACAAACTCTGCAGTATTCTTGCAAATATTCTTCACTCATTGTCATTTTTGACAATGTGTCATTTATTGCAACTTTCTTTTCTTTCTTTCCCGAGTAATCAGGTTGAAAGTTATGGCTTTCAACGTTTTGAATAGTTGACTTTTCAGCTTGAGACGCTAATATTTCTGAGGGAGAGTATTTGATATAATAGTCAAACTTCCCTGAACTTTCTCCAGGTAATACCATTGAAGGATCACCTTGTTCAAAATTTTCTTTTAGCTCTTGTTGGGAGCTTTTCTTTGCCATCTAACTAGATTCTTTACAGCTGATTCCAACAATAGTAATTAATCCAAAACTCATTAAGTTTTCTATCAGCTCCTTGACCTCTTCAAGGGCATCTTGTCCCTTATTTAATAACTTATGGCCTTTAATAATTTTTTCTTGACCTTCATCCATAAGGTTATGGCCTTCATCAATTATTTCTTGGTCTTCTCTTATTTGGCTATTGCCCTTAATAAGTATTTCTTGATCTTTGAAAATAAGGTCTTTCCCTTTATTTTGGAGTTTTAAGATTGCATCCATTAGCTCATTCTCTGCTCAAGAAATCTGCAAGGCAATTATTAGTTCTTTTGACAAGTTCAATTTCAAAATCATATTCAACAAAAAAAATTTGCCATCTATTTAATATTTTATATTCTAGTGTTAAAGGTAATTTATTAAAAATAAAACCCTTAACTTGAGTATTGTCAATTCTGACCTTAAAATGTTTTGGTAATAAGAAGAAACTGAACTTTTTTATTCCATTTTTAATAGCAATAACTCTTTATGATTTGAATGATATCTAGTTTCTACATCTTTAAATGTACTATTAGCATATCTACAAATTTTTTCTTGAGAATTTTTTAAAGTTGGTCCCCAATAAAAATCTAAGGCATCACATTCTAAAATTAACTCTTCATCTTCTTTAGGCAATTGTAGCCTTGCAAGGTTTTTGCAATATTCTTTTTTTCTTTTCACATGATTAGTGTGATAAATTTCCCATTGTTAATTTTCCTTTTTCTTGAGCAACTTTTGCAAAGGATATCTTAATTGAGATAGGTTTTATATAAACTACTCTACATAATTGAGTATTCCTAAAAACCTTTGAATTTCTTCTTTAGATTATAATTTATCTGGGAACATCAAAATCCTTTCACTAATGTGAGGTTGTAATTCTATTTTCGTGGAATATATTGTTAATCCAAGGAATTCAATTTTGGTTTTTCCTATCTTTGCCTTCTTTTCAGAAATGTTCCATGTTTCTTGCATAAATATGAAAATTTCTTAAGATGACATAAATGTTTTTTCTCATTATCAGAGAAGATTAGTATGGCATTTACATAAATTATGCAAAATTTCTTGATGCAAGAAAATACATTATCCATCATTCTTTGAAATATTTGAGGCGCATTTTTTAATCTAAAAGGCATTACTAACCACTCATAGTGTCCTATAGGAGTATTAAAGGCTATTAGTGGGATACTATCAGAAGCTAGCTTAATTTGCCAAAATCCTGATTTGCAATTAAATTTTGAATACATTTTCTTTCCCCTAATGCTATTGATTAGAGTTTCTTTATGTGGTAAAAAGTAACCATCAAATTTAGTTTTGCTATTAAGCTATTTATAGTTGACAACCATTCTAGCGTTTCCTCTTTTTAATTCATTATGATTTTTAACCATAAAGGCAGAACTACTATGCAGACTCTTAGAGGCTATGTAGACTCTTAGAGGCCTGTCTAATTTTTAGGGCAATTAACTCTTGAATTTGCTTATCAAATTCATCTTTATCTTCAGGGCTATACCTCATTGGTTTGACTCCAAAGATAGTTTTTGGGTTTATCAATTTGATTATGACATAAGTTTTATCAACTGCTCATAGTTTTATAGGATCTTCTCCGTAATTACTCCTTAGTTCTATTGAGATAGATTATAAGGTTTTTTTTATTTTTTTTTGTGTTTTTTCATTATTCCATATTGCTAACACTAGTTTTTTAATCTCTTTTGATCGAGTTTTTGTATTATCTTCACCACATTGGCTGCAAAAATTTAATGGTTTTATTGCTCTAGTATGAGCATTACAAATTCTGGAGGCATAAAGCCAATGTCTACAAGGTGTATAAAATTTTATATATGATACAATTTGAACATACTGCTTGAATTGACTTAGGAAATTGTTTCCTAATAGAATATCATTCCCATGCTCATTGCTTTCATAAACTTGGGGAATTATAACTTCAGTTCCACCAATTACAACAATAACTCTTTCTATTGTTGTTTTTTATTGAATAATACTTCCATCTATAGTTACACTTTTCATAGTTTGAGAGGTGTTCCTCCAATAATATTTTGGGAATATATTAGTTTTGGCTAAACATATCCCAGACCCAATATCTATAAAAGCATGAAAGAATTCTGTTTTGTATTCTTCATATTTGATTCCAATGGATATGTATACACTAAA